TTTAATTATATTGGCCCATTTTTGTCTGATGAAGCAGAAGAAAAACAAACATTCTGATGGTTGAAAGTCTCCTACCTAGGTGGTGAACAGATCTCAATACAACACCTATGTGATAATGTGCTGCTTTATTGTATCCATTTGACGTCAGCCTAGGGCTGGACGATATGGCCAAAACTTTTATCACGATATCTCTTTATTTTGGTCGATAACAATATAATTCGATATCGATATAAACAATACAAAAGCCTCAAAAAAACTACAAACTATACAAATAAATTAATGTTCACCTTTTATTTTTATTTAGCCTTCAAAAAAAAAATGAAATGACTGTCAAATAAACATAAAATTCTCAACTTTGTCAATATTAATAGTTTTGACTTTAAAAAACAACTTTAAAATTGACTGCATTGAAATTCATTGTTAATGAAATAAAATTTTTGGGTGTCGTTATTGAAGAGAGAAGCTGACGTGGAAATCTCGTAAAATACTTAAAAATAAAAACAACAATCTGTTGTATTACTGTATAAAGTAAAAGAGTTTTTGAATGACAAAGCTTTGTATATATTGTATAATGTAATGATTGTTCCATATTTAATCTATTATAATGAAGTTTGGGGAAAAGCATGTAAAACAATTACAAACCTTATTTTTATTTTTACAAAAAAGAGCTATAAGAATTATTAGTATTATGAAGTGCTATGGTCACCCAACAAATGTATTATGTCATCAGTTGAAATTATTAAAATGTTATGATTTGGTTGAATATAGTATTTTACAAGTCACGTATAAAGCTCATAAAAATATTAGCCCCAAGTATTCAATTAAAATTTGTAAAAAATAAATATAAAAAAGGAGAGTAAATATAACTTAAGGGAATGTAAATGTTTGTAAACCTCATTTAGAACTGGTCTGAAGGAGCCGTGTTGTAATTCAGGGAACAGGATTATGGATTGTCTTGATATCACCGTAAACATTTCTAAAACAATTTATATGTTTAAAAAGATGATAGTTAAAGTTGTTGTGAAGGTTTAGTACCAGGTGAAGGATACCTGAAGTTTTTTTGTTTTCAGTTTGGAGATTGTTCAAGTCAAGGTTGTTGTTTGTTTGTAGTTATTTTGTATTTTTTAAATTAGGGGCAGATAAGAATTTTTTTCTTCTTTCTTCAACCTTTTCATTCAATGTTTTTTTCTTTCTGATGAATTTGTTTTATTTTAAATGAATGAATAAATGATAAAAACAAACAAAACAACCTGCAGCGCAGGGGGTGTTTCAGGGACACGTTGGCTCAAACTTTTATTGTGCTTCATCTTGTGACTCATCATCTTCTGTCAGGTGGAACAAGTTCGATGTTCCAAACGCTGGTTAGAACGACTCTCCGTCACATTCTGCAGCTCACTGACTGAAACCTGCAGTATATCGTATTGTAGAAAGCCGAACCACTTCCAAACCAGCAAATTAGTCTTTCGTCTCACATTCTGACGATCATGGCACTCATTTTGAAGAGAAAACTTAACGCACATTGGAGATTAGCCTAGCTTAGCCTGCTACCACTAACGCCTTCTGGACTCGAGCTCTGCGTAACATTACGTCACCACGCACTTACGTAGTTGTGTCGCAGCTTTTTCTGTCCGGGTTGAAACTGAAGTGGCCGCTTCAACCAGAACAGAAAACGCTGTAATCCTATCAAAATATCGAAAATGTGCTTAAAATTAATA